TCTATTTTGAATTGCGTGACACTGAAAACCAGCAATAGAAACTTCATTTATCTGTTATAAATCTTTGTACATTTCTTTGCTGTTCTCTGCACAACAACAACGTGAAATGACCAAGTTCTGCGTATTTGCGAGAACGCGAACGACGGCCGCTAACTTTTTCACATTTGCATTTGGAATTGAACTATGGAGTTACATATTAAGCTTGGGCAAGTTCTGAGACAAATAGGCGCACTGAACAGATCTAGACAATATATGGCGACATTCGAAGGTAAAATATAAATCCATTTTTGTCCAGGCGTTGTCCTCGGGGTCGCCGTTGTCATTGCTTAAGCTCTCTAACAAGAACGCTAGTCGAAAATCAGAGTCGTACTGAGTGGAATCATAAGCTCGACCGCGCGTGACGGAATCGGAGTCAGAAGAATCGGAAGGCTTCCATTTTCTTCCGATTCCGCTTACGACTTCGTGGCTCCAGTGAAAATTAGATTGTCGGATCCGGAAGCGGAAACACCAGTCCAATATGCTAGGAATTTCGGCTTTACGATTCCGACAGTGTAGGTCCTCCCGTGGCTAAGATTCCTAAGGCCGTTCGCGCGAAAATTTTCCAGTTGATAATTTTTTTAAAATTTTTACTGCCGTCAGATAATGAGTTTGTTGTGTCAGAAATGCAAAAAAAATTGGGGGTCACCAACTTCCTTTCAGAGATAAAGCGTGTGGAAAACTACCCTGATTTTGAAAAATTGGCGGTCTACAGGTGGTTATATTTGAACATATCGAAGGTGAGTCAACGGAGGCAAACGATCTTAGTCATATTTTGTAGAAATGGGTTTGTTGCGTAAATAATTCCAAATGTTACCAACGTTTACACAAAACTTAACACCTTCAAGAGGCATTTGAAACCGTCGCATAGATAAACGTAGAGCTGAAAATAACGGAATTCGATGGTGCATTTTGCAAAAAATTGTTAGTCGATAGAATCTCTTCATTTTTTCGCTAAACGTAGAAAATTGGAAGAGAAAGTGACCCATCAAAAGAAAAATTGGGGTCACCGAACGTCCAAGATCGTTAAATCCAAAAAAGCTATAGCAATGGCCATCTGCCCTATCATTGCGCATTTTATTACTTACCGCACGCGCTTATTTTTTAATAGGTTTTATTGATTTTCAAACTGAGATAACAAATTACAAATTAAAATTGTTATAATTTTACAGACTACTCGGAAAAACAAAAAATAAATAAATAATTATAAGTGAGCGCGCGCTCAAGCATGACGTGGCATGTGATTTTGGGTGCGGAGTAAGGATGCGCAGAAACAATTAGCACGACCGTCCTTAAAACAACCAGTATTTGGCTTGATTGCTGTCTGGTGTTAATACCTGTTTCTGTAATTATATTTTATTCCAGGTTCAATGTTACACGCCATGTTTTCGGGACGATTTGACACAAACGCAAGCGAGGATGGATCTTACTTCATTGATCGTGACGGAACTCACTTCCGGTATATTCTGAACTATCTTCGCACTGGGCAGCTTTTAGTCCCTGAAGACAACATTGTTCGAAGAGAGCTGTTAACCGAGGCTGAGTTTTATCAGGTTGAAGGTATAATCAATGAGCTGAAAGCAAGGCCCTTCAAGGATTCAGTGATCCTGTCATCAGATCAGCAACAGACCTTGATCAAATGGCTAAAGGAGACACTCACGAGTGCCAGCTGTGACTATGCCTTGATATTCCGCGCCTCCCGCAACGGCTGGACTGCTGCCAACTTTCACTCCTGTTGTGACAACAAGGGACCAACAGTAACAGTGGTCAAGTGTGGAAATTACATATTTGGAGGCTATACTGACCAATCATGGGAAAGTCATGGTAGGACCATTGTTCAAGGATCAGCTATATCATGGGTGGTGCAATTTGAGTGATAATAGCTATTCTGTACCTGCGAGAAATGTGGATTAATGTTTTAAATCAGTCCTGTTGATATCCAGAAATCACATTGGTTTGAGATGGTTCAAAAGATTGATTGTGTTTATTTATATCAGTTTTACCATACATTATATAGTAATTAACATTGTATCTGTGCCAGATTCTTTGAAGGGTGCAGCTGGATAATGATATCTATCAGAACAAACTGCAATCTAGCGGATACGTTTTGACTAAACATACCATTCATCCTTTTTCCGATGCAGCGGTCCATACATTGCTGCTACTAAAGGAATTTTTGGGATGAGATTGGTTATTGATCAAATATTTCTGTTTTGTCTAGGTTCTGGGATTTACAGAAGAGCACCAGGCTCGTTCTTGTTCAGCCTTGTCAACCCAAGTGGTCTGCTACCAACAAAGATGCCTTTGATGGCTGGAAAAGAAGGAAATGCAATCTGGTGCAACAGTGGCTATGGCCCAACATTTGGAGGTGGTCCTGATTTTCGTATTCCCAATGCACCAAATTCCAGCAATACTTGTTATGTAAACCTGAACAACACATACCAGTGTCCAATCGGTCAGAATGTGGGCACATTTTTTACAGGGAATCAAAGCTTTTATGTCAATGAAATAGAAGTTTTTGTATTTGAAAAATAACTGAAGAATATTATACTTTGTAACTGGACTGAAATATGATGTTTGCAATAACGGCTACAGCTCAGTTAATTTTCTTTTAATGTAAGACTAACAGGCTACTGGTTGATCAGTAAGTGTTTAAGAAAGTTGTTAGTACACAGGTGTTTATAAAAAGGACGATTCGTTAAAATCCAGTAAAAGTGTGTAAAATCAGTTTAGTTGTATTTTTTCATCTAGATGTTAAAACGCAGGTATATTTCTTGCTTTTATAACAAAGAGCATTAACAGAAAAAAACTACAAAACTGTGCAGAAGACGTTACTCTCACTGGATAGTGATTCATCCTATATATATGGATAGCGCTGTCTACTTTTTGAACAAACGGACCTTACATAAAAGTTAAGAAATATGAGATATCGATAATGATTGGTCAACAGTTAACAAATAAATTTCATAGTGTAGCTTGTTATGTGGCTCCGGTGTTTTGTCTTATCAATTTGATGTGCTCCGCGTGCTTTTGTTATGGATCCGTTTCAAAGGGATAAGATGCATGTCGTTGACAGGGTGTTTAGGTAAGTTGAAGTGTTTTGAGACAGTATTGGGTTAACAAGTTAGTGGTAATTTTCCGCTTAGCATCGATGTTCACCAAAGCGTTAATGAAGACGTCGTTGTTAGTTCTCTATTTTCGCGGGATGGGACGGGCATGCATATTTCGCGGGACTTCAATATTGCGATTTGGCCAAAAAAACAACAACGACAACAACAAAAACTTAACGTTAAAAACTCTTTTTCTTTGGCTATCGTAGCTTAATAAGAAATAAGACACAAAACTGCGGTGATAAACATCACAATAAAACGCATCGCTAGAAAACAAAAATAAAACGATATCATTTAACTTGACGTTTCGTATGTTTCGACGGTTTAGGAACTAATAAACAATAACAATGACAGCAGCTGAAACAAATTTGCATATGAAAAGATGGAAACTAATGAAGATAAAGCTTTTCGCTACTAACATTTTCATTTAGGGTAGGTTTCAGTTCCCTGATGAGTAGGGTCTTTTTTATCTTGCAATGTACATATATCTGACCGACCTTTCGCTAATATTTCAAAGTAGTCCCATTTTAAGGTGGCTGAACACAGTTTTTGATACCTGTGTTTCATTCACCCTTTTCTCTTAAACCCTTGATCCCTTGGTCGCCAAAAATGGCAGTAAGCAAGTTAACAACACAAGCTTTAGTTTTTTGACGGTTAAGCTAACGTACGTACCGTTGCCATGGCAACATGAATAAATATAAACAGGCCTTTAAAATCGGTTTTGTTTATTTGTAGAAAATCTAGTCATTAGATTTTCTTTATAATTTGCATGCAACAAGCTTGTAACGATTCTCACAAGTTAACGCCATTTTGCTAATAATTTAACAGAGATCTTTAATTATCCCTTAATTATTGTGCAATAATAGTTAATTATTAACCCTTTTGTAGCACAGTGTAACACAGTGTAAGATCAAAGACTGCTCATAGCAGAACGTCCAGGCAGTCAATGCATCAATCAGGAATAATCTACTTAGCTTTAAAAGGACGTTGCTGAGCAATGTTTGAGGAGTCTGAGCTGAACTTGTAGAAGCAAGAAGTCTTTGAAGTGTCCGCTTATTGCAGGTTTTGTGCAACAAAATGACTTAATATTGGTGTCCGCGTCCGTTTAAAAGAGGTGTCCCTGAATGCAAGTTTATTTTACAGTAAATGTGGGAAGGAAATTTTGGGACTGAAACTGGTGTCCACTTGATAGAGTGTGTCCGCTTAAGGCTGCTTTCCATATGATCGCAGACGATCGTAGACGATCGCGGATCGCAAATCGCAGATCGCAGACGATCGGAAAGAGAGTTGTTTCCATATAATCAGACGATCGCAAGCGATCGCAGAGCCGACTGTTGAATACATTTCGGACAGCGG